GGTTTTGTATGGTCTCTATCTATTAATAGTTTCCATGTTTCAGCACATTTTCCATATGTTTAAGCACACATCCTGGTAAACGAACACACATAACAAYATTTTCTTTTAATAATGCAAACCCATAGATGAAATCTACAAAAAAACCAGCATAAACTGTAGCTAATACCAAAAAACAAAAGGAAAATCAAAGCCAAAAGTCAAAATGAAAATACTCAACTGKAGCCAAAAGTGGAAAAGCAGCTAGAATGTAACAAAAAGCTAAAATGATGTAGAACTGTAGCTAAAGGTTTATAAAAATTTGCATAAAAGGAGCGCACACATATTACTACATTACCTGATTTAGATTTCAGAGAATCAAGTTAAAAAAAATYTAGGAATGATTTTTACGAGGAAAATATATTGAAATAAAAGTTGAATTCAAAAAGCATAAAAATATTTAAACCCACAGTTCCCATWTGAGTCAAAAACTCCCTTAGTGTTAGAGCTGTGAAATATAAATGAATGACTTACAAAACTCTCCAGAAAAGAAGGATCTGATCTGAGCAAGAAGGCCCACTTCTCCACCTCACCTTCATCTGGTTTCTGGAAATAAAATATAAATTTAATACAAAACAGGAACTCATCAGAAGACATTTGACTACTGATATTAAGACAGCTGARACTGAATCTGCTCTGGTTCCATTATCTGAACTCTGTAGTCTAAATAAAAACATCGGTACCGCTGCTTTAGGCTTCTTGCGGCTGTGTTTACAGCGATGTTTGCGTGTGTTGTATTTGGCCAGTTGATACTCGCTGAACTCCTTGAACTTGTCRGCCATCGCCTTCTTGAGACACGCCGGCAGAGAGCGGCTGAAGCACTGAAGAGAAAATCAGACTTTATTCAGAACTGAAAAACAGAAAAACTTCCTGTTAAATAAAAAGACTAAATGAAACCCACTGTGCTGTAGATTCTGACGACTTCCAGCCAATCAGAGGGCAGCTGAACGGCAGCGCTGAAATATCTGCGGACGTGAGGCTTGGTGGGCGACAGATTGGCAGCAAGAGCTAATAAGAAGTTAGCCGTGATCCTGATGTTCAGCTCCTGTCTGGTGTAAACGGCAACCTGGATCAGAAACAGAAAGATAAACTAGATTGTCTGCAAAAACAGTGTGAACGCTGAGCGCCGAAAGAAGCAATAAAATGATAAAAGCAGTCGTATTTTATCTAAAAGATAAAATGACAGCTAAAACTAAGAAAACCGAAAAAGCTTTAAACAAAAAGTTCTCTTCAGAACGAGGCCACATACCTTCAGGAGAAACTGTGGGTCAGAGTCAGAGATGTCCTTGGCCAGTTTTATGATGGAGGTCCAAACACTGTCCTCAGAGTCCCAGTCCTGCTGACCCGGAGCGTTGCTCTTATTCACCAGAGAGCAGCACACAGCATTCAGCAGGAAATACTGAAACAAAAAGAAGAAATGTTTTATAATTCAGGTGTAAAACWGATCTTTTGTTCTTTTCTTCATGTAGAAAACCTTTTTATTTTTCAGCTCCTCTTCGGCCTTTTTATTTCCTGAGTCAATTTCAGGAAACTCCTCCTGCCTGATGACAACAGAGTCATCGAGTTCTGGGCTGGTTTCTGTTTCTGGGACAGGTAACTCCATGATGGCATCAGCCTCGACCTCCTCTTCGTCAGACAGGAAGTAATCTTCATCACGCTGCTGCTGATTCAGAAGAAGTCAGATCAAATCACGTTCATATGAGCATCAACCGGATTAAATTATAACAGCTAAATGACACTGATGAACTTTACAAAGTAACACAAAGCTGGCTTAAAGCAAATGTAGCAAAACGCTAGCCAAAAGTAGACAATGCTAGCTAAAGCTAAATGGCAAAAGTGTCATTCAACTCTAGAAGAAACTAGCTAAAACTACAAGAATACCTAGAAGCTAAGATTCAGATCTACGTAGTCTAGCGCTAACCAAAAGTAGAGAAACATCAACAGCAAAGAGTTAGCTWAAAGCTAAATGGTGCAAAAGCTTCACTGAAAGCTACGAGAATTAATTGGCATGTTAAAAAATAAAATAAGCTAAATTATTACTAGAAGAAAACAGCTAAAAGTAGGAAAGTTGGAAGTACCAAAACCTAGCATAATGTATATAAGTCTAGCTAATTGCTAAARGCAGCAAAACACTAGTTAAAAGCAGCAAAAGCTTAGATAAAAGCTAAATGTATAGCAAACACTTCAATAAAAGCTATAAGAAGCAATGAGCTAGCTAAAACTACACAAAAAATTAACTAGAAGCTAAAATAAGGCTAAATGTAGCCAAACATCAGCCAAAAGTAAAGAAGCATCAAAAACAAAGATGTAGCTAAAAGCTAAATGTACCAAAAGCTTCAATAAAAGCTATAAGAAGCAAAAGCTTCAATAAAAGCTATAAGAAGCAATGAGCTAGCTAAAACTACACACAAAAATAACTAGAAGCTAAAATAAGGCTAAATGTAGCCAAACATCAGCCAAAAGTAAAGAAGCATCAAAAGCAGAGATGTAGTTAAAAGCTACAATAAAAGCTATAAGAAGCAATGAGCTAGCTAAAACTACACACAAAAATAACTAGAAGCTAAAATTAGGCTAAATGTAGCCAAACCTCAGTCAAAAGAAAAGAAGCATAAAAAGCTAAGACTTAGCTAAAAGCTAAACAAAACAGAAATGGGGTTAAACGCTCTTAGAGGGAACAGATTAGCTAAAACTAAAAGTAGCAAAATGATAATTAGAAGCTTAAAAGTAGCAGAAGGGTAGCTAAAATTTTGAAAGTAGCTTTAGAAGACATAAACAGGTTGCTGAAGCTGATTTTAAAGAAAACAATATTTTAAAGGAACTGAAAAGATTTCACTGAACTTATATGGGGCAAATGTTTGTAAATTATGATAAATATTTTAAAAAAGTGTAACAATTTACAGCATCCGTCTCCCAAATGAGCTAGATGTTTTGATGAATGAATGGCTAAAAATAATTAGATTGCAAAAATTGATAACAAAATAAAAAACAGAAGCACAACTGTGCAAATTAACAGTTGTTGTCAAGAATATTTTAGATTCCAGCTAATTTTCACTTTCAAATTCTGCTAAAAGACAAGTGAAGGACTTTTAAAGTACCATGCTCGTTTCCCCAAAGGAGGACTGCATCTCCTCAGATATTTCCTCATCGTCTCCTTCGTCTTCCCTTTTCTGTTCCCCACCTACATCAGGACGCAGGAATGAAGGAGGGTGGGCAAAGCGATTGAGGAGAGAACAAGTGGTCAGGGTTGTGGAGAGCAAAGAGCTATCGGGGGCAGAGGAGGTCAGGGAGAAAGAGAGACTGGGTGATTCAGTAGCCAGGAGCTTGTTTTGGGTGCTGAGGAAAGGTGAAGTGGTGGAGGAAGAGGAGGAGAGGAGGGAGGAGGAGGTGGAGCACAGTTTGGAGGGCTGGAGAGAGGAGGCCGAGACGTTCACGAGCAAAGACGGAGGCTTCGTGATGGAGGTCTGAGACAAAATCTTATTCTCCAAACATGGAGAATAATTTGAAGTTAAGCTTCTCCCACATAATGGCGGACGTCGCTGCTCTCCTGAGTGCGACTGCTGCAAAGTCAACGCCTTCATCTCTGCAGAAAAACACACAAATCAAAGGGTTAAAGGTCATCGACAACTGGAACCTCCCTTTCAAAGCTCAAATAATCTTGGACAGCATTGTGAAAGCTGAAAAGCAGCATTCCTTTGACTTAAAGCATTGCTGCCCAGAAGGGTGTGTTTAAAAGCAAAGTCCAAAATGAACAGGGGATAAAAAGGTAGTTTAACCTGCGAACAATATTGCACAACTGTTGGAAGACATCTAACCTAATACAAACAATAAAAAGTGGCGTTTAGCAACGAAACAGTGAATTAAATACAAAGTTTTAGCTTGTTTCAGAGCTGACATGTTATTTTCAAGTCAAAATCTACATTTTGGCAAACAAAAATCGGACAGAACTTTAAAAAAGAAACAAATTAAGGTCATAATTTAACTTCAATGAGACTAATGTTGACTGAAGAATGCGGGTAATTTAGCAAACAATGACATGAAAGAGTCAGTCTGCAGTAGGTGTGGTGGTTAGCTGTGGAAGTCCACGTCCAAACGCTAAAGACTCACCTCAAAAACACAAAAGAGTTTTCATAAGCAGTCAGCAAGTCGATATGTGAACTAATATTCTTCCATAAACTTACCGCTCAATGACCTGTACCTTGTCAGTCTAAGAAACTCAGAAAAGTGCCAGCTGATGTCCAGGAAGCAGACAAGCTAACTGCCGAACACCGATTGGTCACACCCTAAGTCTGTGTACTTTATTACCGTAATACACATAAAACGTGCGCCTTTACGAAAATACAGACAATTAGAATCTAACACAGTTACATTTATAGTCAGAAATTAACCTGCCATAAAGGATAAGATTCTCAACATAAACCAGAAACATAAACTACAGTTATATTGTTAACTGTTAAGGTTTAAACTCGACAGGTTCKCATTACCGTAATGTGCTTGAGTAAGTATGGCAAGCCGATTTATCACTTATTAGTAAGGCTTCTGAAAGTAGATACCCATTATTCAAATATTCTTGTTTGAATAAAGACTTTCACTTCTCAGAAAACCTTTTCACAATCAGCCTTTCAGGTAGCTTTAAAACCAAGTGGTATTTAGTTCCAGACATCCACACAATCACATTGTTCACCACCAGTAGCTGTTTAAAATGCAGTATGTAGAGTTAACTTTCATTTAAGATATTTACAGTAGTTAATCCTAGTTATAATTTCTATTTTAGAAAGACAAAATTATTATTCTAAACATATTCAATAAAATTTTGAATAGACATTTTTTAACTAAAATGTTTTTATTTATTAGAGATATCAAGCATTCATAATATGACCAGATCATTAATTAGAATTAAGACTAGCCATACTTTTGTTTCAAAAGTCTAAAATAAATACGTCAATTGACAAGTCCTAATAAATCAGGAATTTGATGGAATAACAGAACTTGTAGGCACGGGTTTTATGTTTGGTTAACTTGAATTTTAATCAAAAAGTGAAGGCGTGGGAAAAGATATTCAGAATTACAATTACAAGATACTATCTTAAAAATATAACTTAGCACATAATGTTTTTGTTTGTTTTTAGCACCCATGTCATGTATGTATGAGATGGTGTGCTGAGTTCTGACTCAGCACACCATCTCATACATACATAGATATTATATGCTTCAACGGCCTGCCATAAATAGGTTGAAAGAGGAAATTAAAATGCTTTATTTCCGCTGCAGCAGCGACACAACGGGCAGGTCAAAAATAAAGGAAAATGTGGCCAGTAAGAGCAAACTAGGGCCGGAGAAGAAGCGTTGACTTTCAGTTTTCTCCTTCGTAAGGCTTCGTTATTTAGTTACCGTTTATTTAAAAGTCAGCGCCTTGACTTTTTCACGGTTTAAGGCGTCCTCCCATTTTTTTTCTTTTTGTTGCGAGCTGAGCTAGCCTGGTAAAGATGGGAACCAGAGCAAGTCGCATACAGGAAGACCCGCTTCCTTCACCCTACGGAAAAGAAGGCACAAAGCGGGACTGCTACCGTCGAACCCGATGCACCAGGCCCACCAGCCTCGTCGTCGACTTCTCGGTCAGCTTCGAGGAAACGGAGGCCAACCGGAGCCGATCCGAGGAGGGCAGCGACTCGGACTTGGGGCGGCACGGGGCGAGCGCCGACGGCAGCCCCGCCGACCATCACGGTGGCGGAATTCCCTCCGGCATGAGTCAAGCGTCTCCCGCCGACGACGACGACAACAACAGCGAGGGGAAGCCCGAGGAGGACGGGAACGTCAGCCCGGAGGCTCCCGGCGTCGACGCCGAGCGCCAGCCGGGAGAGGACACGGGCCGCACACCTCACCGCACTTTTTCCGAGCGGCTCCCCGGGAATCGGCACTCATCGGCCCGCAGCGTCGGCGCAAGATCCGCTCGGGTCCGCGGCACCCACCAACGGCCGGTGTCGGAGGCTTGGATCGGCCTTTATCGCGTTAACAACCGGCATGGCAGTAAGTAACCGTCCCTACAAACCACAATATTATACTTAAAGTCATTTTCATTATTTGTTTGCATAATTTTAAGATTATTGCTTCATGGTATTTAAAAAATTATCGTTATCCCAATATGTGAGCACAATATTACTGCAGTAAAATACATAATTTTTAAGTACAATGCTTTTATTTTCTGTAAATAATAATATTTAATCCTACAGACTCTAAATACCCACAACTGATGAAATAAGAGAAAATGGAGAAAATCTGGAGTTATCATGATTCCAATAGTATCACACATTGCAAATTTTCCTAATAACCAGAATTAGTTTGATTTGAGTTTCATGAGACTGGATATTTTCCTTTAAGGTGGCAATTTAAAGGTTATCTCAATCTGTATCAAATTTTGCTCTTTAATACTTCGGTAGTTTTCCAAATACAGTCAAATGTTTGATTTGTTAAACTGTRGGTCTGCACTCAATGTAAACAAAGCACTCAGCTGATTCCAATCAAGGGATTAACCTCTAATAACTTGATTGGAATCAACTGAGTGCCCTTTGTTGCCCTAATTTCAGTCACTTTGGCTGTTTTCTGCATGTAAATCAGCATTCATTACCAGCTTTCAATTTTTAATTTAGACATTAACTGTCGATACAAGAGAAAAGAAAAATCTTAAGACCCGACGTCATGACTTTGCACCCTTCAAACAAAGTAATTTTATATACAGTAGAAGGGCTTATTTGTTGATAAATCGGCTTTTGTTTAGCCTGTTTTGAGGATACATCATTTACATATCCCTGAATCAACTCTTTCTGAAATTAAAATGGATTATTTCGTGGAATTTACATTCCTGAACAGATGATCTGTCTTCCCCGTGCCTGCATGCGGACTAAAATCGTCAGAGACCCCATTGTCTGCAGCACAGAGCCGTGGCGTTAAACTATCAGTGGTGACACACGAGCTTTTTCACATCGTCGGTTCCTTACGACATCGGCTGTCAGCGACGGTCCCCCGGCATCCTGCAAGACGAAATCATCGAGTCGCCAGCCGCCAGCAGCTTTTGTCAGAAAAGGAGGACGTGATTTTGCAGGAGAAACAAAAGGAGCCCGCACTGTTTGTGTTGGGTAATCACATGCAAACAGATGGCGGTGGGGGTTGTAACGTGACATTTTGAGCCAAAACACTACGGTGTGGTGGGTTTCCCAGGCCGGCCCTGCAGCGAGTGTAGGGAAATGGGTCAAACGCTTCACATGCCGGCTCAGCGCTGGCAGCGGCTCCTTCGCGGAGGAGAGATGTAGGGCAGGAAGGCGCTGTTTCTGCCTGACTGTCACATTGGCGAACGCTTCGCCGGCGCCCGTCCCTGACGTCTGACTCACTGTTTTCACTGATGCACGCAGTCAGCTGAAGCTATTTCAGGTCAGCTTGACTCAAGGTGACATAATCCGGGCATCTACGCTCGGGTTTGGAGTCGGTGTAATCTAGACGCCCAGACGCCGCGCGTGTGTGTTTGGCATCATCTATCATTTATATCTCTGTGACACAGTGTGGGTAATCTCAGCTCTTTGCCCTCTGCAGATATCCGCTGTCCTTTCTGCTCAAAGCCTTTCCCGGGCGGGCGGATCGAGGATCACCTGTTGAGCTGCCTCACGTCTCCCCCACTACCTTACAACAGTAAGCATCGTGTTGCCAAAAAAAAAAAAAGCCCCAGCAGCTGTCTGTGTTTATTTTAAAAAGGCTGCTGACGCTCATCGTTGCTGTGTGTGTGTGTGTTTATTTACAGCGGATGTGCTCAGTAAAGACAGCGGGGAGTGCTCTATCTGTTTGGAGGATTTGGTGCAGGGGGAGACCATCGCCAGGCTGGCCTGCCTGTGCGTCTACCATAAGAGGTAAACMAGGTTTTGATGCATTTTAACAATTAAAGGGGTACAAATMGCGCGCYGCCTTTCACAAAAAGACTTTTAAASTAAGATCGTCTTGTGCTGRAAAAGGAWACAGCTGTGCACAATCACTTCACGCTCWATGTGTTGTGAACGACTCTCAGCTACTACCACGCCAACTTTAAGCTTAGAGTCTATAAAAGTTCACTGAAGCATAGCTGTGTCTCTAAAATCTGTCCAGTGGTTTGTGAGATATTTTGCTAACTATAGACCAATGGTGAACACAGCTAACCAAAGAATTAGTTTGCTAATTTGTAGTCCGCTAACTAAAACAATAGCTTTGGTAAAGCTAAACATGTAAACTATAAAGCGGAAACTAATGCTAATCTAGTGAGAATTAGCGGATGCTAAGACTAACAGCTAATTGCTAACTGCTAAGACAACTGTCAGTCTGTCTATCACACAGCTAAACAATGAAAAATTAGAAGCTAACACTAACAGCTAATCGCTAACTGCTAAGACGACTGTCAGTCTGTCTGTATCACACAGCTAAACAATGAAAAATTAGAAGCTAACACTAACAGCTAATCGCTAACTGCTAAGACAACTGTCAGTCTGTATCACACAGCTAAACAATGAAAAGTTAGAAGCTAAACAATGAAAAGTTAGAAGCTAACACTGATTGCTAACTGCTAAGATGACTGTCACTCAGTCTGAGTCGCACAGCTAAACAATATTAGGAAAAGCTAACCGCTAACCGCTAACACAAACGTTACTCAGTCTGAGTCACACGTCTTCGTCTCCTATTAGCGTAAAACTGGTGGAACTGACACAAACCTGTTGATGTTAGCTTGTTAGTTAGCTGTTAGCGGACTTAAAGTTGACAAAATCTAATTTTTTATTTGTTCCGCTAGTGAAAAAGTTAATTTGCTCAGTTAAATTATTTTTCCGCTATTAGCTGTTAACTGATTAGCAGAGCCATGCGACCATGCATGTGCGACAACAAAAGGCAGATAAATAAAATGCAAATATTTTTTATTTGTAAAAATGTGTCGGGGTCAGGGAGAAAGTTGTTTTGTTCTAATTAAAGTCGCACGATTGATAAGTCAACCGTCTTTTGATACGACGTTCCAAACTTATCTAGAGGCTCGCTTATTAAAAAAACATGAAAGGTAAACATGTCTAAGAACAAACCTTGCTTTTAATTAAAAAAAGTGTTTCTTTAATTATTTGCCTGAAAAAAAGTAGCAGAAACGTCACATTTGTACCAAACTATGGATCTGAGTTATGAGCTTTAAAAGCAGCTTAAAATGAAAAATGAATGACTGTGAAGTTGTACGTGTGTGCGTGCACGATTCAGCCCATTTACAAAAAAAAAGAAAGAGAGAGAGAACCTGTTCATTTTAAAAGCACRCTGTAATGTTCCACTCAAGGGTTTTTCCTTGAGCCACGTAATTCCAGAGCAATCGAAGGTTCACAGGTATTACCTAGTTTCAACCTGCAGCACTTTCCCCGGCTGCAGCTGCGTCACGAGTTACGCGTTYGAAGCAAGCAGACACACGCGCAGCGTTAGCTGGAAGTCYRTTTGGTTTCATCTCAGTGAAACAGCAGAGGTGACGGGAATTCAGGATGAAYGTGATTTAAGGTTAAACACACGACGGGGTTTGTAGATGGAGCGTTTTGAGTGTTGTAATGCAGCTGTGTGTAGGTGTGGCTGTTGGACCCGACGTTAGAATCCACCCATAAGAAAGACTGAGATTAGGAGGAAAAAGAACAAACATCTGAGAACAATTATACCTTCTTTTTTTTCCCTCTAGCAATAAAACCCTTGTATTTCCGGAGGTTTCAACGACTTATTCTGGATATATTTTTTGATTCAGGTGTAGTCTGTGTTTTAAAAATGAAAGTAAAGGTGAGAAATCTTTCTTCTAAAATCAATCTTGCTCAACTTTTTTGCATTTAAAAGCTACAGTGCTGTTGTTAACTATTTGGCATCTTTAACTAATATATTTTTTACAACAAATCCAGTGTCAGATAATTGTTTTGGGCCTAAGTGTGATTTTTAAAGCCAACTGAAACAAGCCCACACCACAACTTGTCTCTGAGCAAGTCGTTGCGTGTTCGCTGCCAACCGAAGCGATCAGATTTCCAGTTTCTGTGGATTAAACRTTTAATTAAAACCAACGTTTGAGAGCGTCTGGTCTGAACCCTCTCCTCCTTCCTGCAGCTGCATTGACTCCTGGTCCAAGGTGAAGCCCTGCTGCCCCGAACATCCCTTTGATTGACTCACAGGTCACACCCGTTCGGCCCAGTGACCAACTCGACTCAGGTTTGTGCACCTTTCACCACAGATTTATTCACATGAATGAGTTTTTTATAGCCAGTGACACCGAAGAGGAGGGAAACTGATGCATTTAACTCATGCCGAATTGACAAAATCTGTGGCATAATCAGTATTTAGCTTTAATTAATCATTTGAAAGGTTGCAAAAAGAAACCAAAGTCCCAAATATAAAATGTCTTAACACAAGAATCTCTATTAGAACTTCCTCAATTTCTAGATTTATCCAAAACACAAGTGAGGTTACTACAATTAGTGCCTGGCGGGGATGGATTGAGCGGGATTTACCCGGTCCTCGCTCTTTCTCTGACCCATTTTTTTAAACTGCCCTCTTCCGTCTGAAAAGGTTCTGCGTCCCTATTGTCGCCAAACTTCATTCAACTTTTGCGTCGTTTTGTTTTCTCCTTCCTGTGGATTTGTTGGCRCTTGTCARATAATTTCAGGCCTCCATCAGAAAACATTTTGGGCATTTTACGTTGATTTGGCGGGGATGGGGGCGAGACCAGAGCTGGATTGAGGTGGTTTTTTTTTCATGAAACTGTCTGAAAGTGCTGTAAATTATTTATCATACCTGTGGTTTTATTTGACCTATTGGCACAGTTTAAAAACTAGTTTATAGTTTGAAGTCTGTACTTTTGACACGAATTGAAACTGAATCTCAGAGAGGGTGGGTATTTCCTGCTAGAGCGATTTTAAATTGATGATGTGGCTACGTCGGCGCAGGCTCGTCTAGTAACACCAAGGGGTTAATCATCATTATTCATTAATGGCTACATGCTGTAGTTGTCATTTATTTGTTAATTAATTTTTTGCAAACATTGCCCAACTCTAGTTTTAGTTTTGTTACCCAAACAACCAAGCTTTGGTTCTCATTACTCCTGCAGCAAACCTCACCTCTCCTTTCAAAGCATTTTATAAATTTAGCATTTTTTATTACAATTTGATGAGATCTGTTGAGAAAGTTAAAGCTCGTCTTTCAGATTGAATTTTCTGTTTTCTCTTGACCTTCAAGTCGAAGTTTTCCATTTTGCCCAAAGGCGCCAAAGCTTTTGGAGAAAACAAAGATTGCTCCACCGAATGAGTCACGTTGCTTTTATGTATTTTTGGGCAAACTCAAATAGTCGTGTTTTCAAACGTCACAGTCTACGTCTGAGGGACGTAGACTGTGTGTTTCCGAGGTGGAATTCACAATCGTAATTCTAAAAATGGGATGTTGTGAACCGTTTCAGGAAAATAATATAGCGGTGACAGCAACACGTCTTGGAATAGACGAGAAGAGCAACAGGAACCTGTAAAAATAAACAGTGATACAGTACAGTGACGTCTGCCTCGCTGATGGTATGGGGGTGCATTAGCGCCTGTGGTATAAGCAGCTTACAAACCGGAGGCAACATCRGTGCAGAAAAGAACAGATTTTAGAACAACTTATTCCCCTGTCCAGACCACGTCTAATTCAGGGAAGACCTTGTATATTTCAGCAAGATGTTGCTGAACCACATCCATTACAGCAGCAGGACGTCGTGGTAGAAGAGAAACGACAAAAAAACAGCTAAAATAACCTTCATTTTTAAAGCTTATTTGGTTTGTTTACTTTGTTGTGGACAAAATATAGGTTTATGGGTGGTTTCTTATCATTGGGTTCTGGTTTTATTTGCATTTTACACAACTGGTTTATAACTGGCGATTATAAAAGGTTAACTGTATGTAAGTAGCAGAGGACACTACACACATTTACATTTGTCCTGAAATGTCAGTAAACTCGAAAAACTAGAAATTTCTCCCCTGATTTTCATCTAGATTTCTTCACACTAAAGAAGCAATGAGAGGTTTTGAACACAGAAACAAATATAACCAATCAGATCTGAGTTGTAGTTACATTTATCTGCATTTAAAGCAATATTCAACTTGAGCTGTTGCAAACTTAATCATTTGTCTAATTAGATTTTTTTATTTTTGCTGTTTTTTTTCCAGGAGACTACACCGATTCCCAATAAAAATTACAATAAAAATTGTGCATTTGAACAAGCAAATGTCCACTGTCCCTGTCAGACACAATCCCAGGAGGAAGCTGCAGTTGGCCAGATCCAACACTCTGGATTAATTTATTTAAGCTCAATCTGCCAACAGTATATATATTTAAAAAAAAATTTAAAACAGCTGCTCTGTTTTTTATGGTTTATTGTTTTGTTTTGAGACACTTGTTGGACCAGAAGTGCTGGAGTTCCCCATCTCCTCCGTGGATTTGGAAAAAGCGGAGCGTATAAATATGACCACCCGCCCCGAACAAAAACGATGGAACTAGCCTGGCGAGGACCAGGTTTCTGGGACTGGTGCCTCCCGTGTGTATTTTGTCTCTAAACGGAGTGGCTCTTTCTCTTTCTTTTTTTTAAATCAGGTGTTGCTCCACGTATTGAACGAATGTTTCCTCCTTTTTTTTTCTTTTCCTTCCTCTTCCTGGACTCGCCCCCCAGATGATCCAACCTCGCACCGAAAACCCTTTTCCACATTCCTCCACGCCGTGAGGACGCTTCAGGGTTGAGGACTTGTTTTTGGTGAAATGGGGCCACCGCTTCTCTGGCTTTTTGCTTTTTGTTGCCTGTAAACATTTCAGGGGAAGTTTGGGGCCTTTTTTTTTAAAATATATTTATTTTGAAGTTGGTCAGTTTTTCCATGAATGGTTGCTGCTGCTGCTTTGGTGAGTGTTTCAGGAAAATGGCGGGTGGTTTTTCGAGTGCCACGGTAGCGTCGCGTTGGCTCCAACCGAAGCACTTTTTGCCCTTTTTAAAAAAAAAAAATTTTCCTATAAGATCTGGGGTAATGTTACATGTGTGTCCAGATGAGGACTGACCGTGTCGTGAGTGTGTATTTGATAAAGTGTGTGTGTTTATTGTAAATTGCTTGAATGTCTGCTTTTGTTTTAAGGTTTGTTTGTTTTTTCAGCCAGTTTCACGCTGCTGACATGTAGATTTTGGTACTTGCGGTTTTGGTTTTAGCCCCTCTTCTTCTCTCTCAGATGCTTTTATTTTTGTAAAGCCCTGAGTGACGGTTTGTGCAGAAATAAAGGGACAGGCCGGGCGAACTGAGGGGCATGTTTACACCCCGTGGCATCCGCCTCTTTCCACAACACTGGAGGCTACGAACAGCTGATGGTTAATTATTACATAACCCCCTCCCTCTCCCTTCTCTTTTCATTTTAAGGATTGTAGCTATAATATTATGACTTTTCATGATTATTGCTGAATAACTTTCCTTTTTTTATATTTTATTTTTCCTGTGTGCTGCTCCTGCGTGGCGAAGGGGGTCTTGTTTGCTTTTAAAGGACTGACAGGAAGTCTCTGCCCAGGCCAGTGGAAAGAACAAAAACATCAATTTATTCTGGGTTAAACTCTCAGTGCTGCAGTGATCGGTTTAGGTTGTTGATTTTATTTTATTATTATTTTTTAGTTTTTTCTCCTTTTGGTCCCTAATGCTCTGCAGTCTGAGGTGCTACGACCCATCCCCGCCACTAGTGGGCAGCCCTGTGCATGTTTGTCATTATTATATAAATATATATATATATATATATATTTAAAACTATATATATATTGGAGATACATAATTAAAAAATGATGCCAAAAGTCTGTCTGTGCTTCGAGGCATTAGTGTGAGAGCGTGCAGAAGACGAGTTGCATTGATCATTTGGTGTTGACGTTTGTTGTGGTGATAAGTTATGATGTTGTATTTTTTTTTTTTTGATTGGGGGGGTTTGTTTATGCTTCAGGTAGAGGGGGTGGTGTTTTTGGAGGTTGGATTGATGCAGACGAGCCTAAAACCCAACATTATTCTTATTAAACCAGCTCCTCTCCAAACAAAGATGGTATTTTGTACAAAACGTCCCCCTATGGGTTTTTGGAAACCACATGGCTCCGAGACCAGCGTTATTAGGCCACAAGCTGGACCCCACCCCCCCTCACCAAGACTCTGGTATTATAAAAACAAATTTGAGTTTTATTTATTGAATTTGTAAATATGTAATTGCAGTTGATGGAAACGGCTCGGTCCTCGTCTGTTCAATATAAAACTGTTTCTAAGCTCTGATCTTTTTGTATGTCTCAGAAATTGTTTTTATATGTATTTTTTACAATAAATATGTGTGAGAGACGTTCTGTCCTCGTCTGCGTTGTTTGTTGCACCGATTCGGATGTATTCTTCATTTTACTTTGTGTCTCGTCAAATCTGTGAAYATAAATTCAAGGCGACACTTTAGCTCCTGAAAAGTAAAAGTATTAATGATTCTTACTCGTAACGTTGGTATTTAAAGGTCCTGTCGCACTAGAACGGGTGGGCAATAATGGTCCTCGAGGGCCGCAGYCCTACATGTTTTACATTTTTCCTGCTCCAACACACCTGATTCAGTCACTGAACTACCTCTTCCAAATTCTGGAGTATGGAGGACCGACACTGACATAATTAGAAATAGAAGCAGAAATAAATAATGAACCTTTAAATAAATAAATACATTTAAAATGCACCAAATAAATTAGAAAGGAGAACTTTACCTCA